TGTATACGAGATAAATGCAATTATTAAACTGTTTTATTACACGGAACTGCCATGGTATACGAAATAAATGCAATTATTACACTGTTTTATTACACGGAACTGCCATGGTATACGAGATAAATGCAATTATTACACTGTTTTATTACACGTAATTGCCATGGTATGCGAGATAAATGCCTTATTACACGAAACTGCCATGGTATAGGAGATAAATGCAATTCTTACCCTGTTTTATTACACGGAACTGCCATGGTATACGAGATAAATGCAATTATTACACTGTTTTATTACACGGAACTGCCATGGTATGTCGGAGATAAATGCAATTATTACACTGTTTTATTACACGGAACTACCGTGGTATACGAGATAAATGCAATTATTACACTGTTTTATTACACAGAACTGCCATGGTATGCGAGATAAATGCCTTATTACACTGTTTTATTACACGGAACTGCCATGGTATAAGAGATAAATGCAATTCTTACCCTGTTTTATTACACGGAATTGCCATGGTATACGAGATAAATGCAATTATTACACTGTTAACGTTTTATTACAGGAACTGCCATGATATATGAGATAAATGCAATTCTTACCCTGTTTTATTACACGGAACCGTCATGGTATACGAGATAAATGCAATTATTACACTGTTTTATTACACGGAACTGCCATGATATATGAGATAAATGCAATTATTACCCTGTTTTATTACACGGAACTGCTATGGTATATTGGTTAAATTCACAGGCGTGCTACACTTTGTATATCAACAGAAGCCATTGTTATACGTCAGGAAGTCCATTTATATGTAAAGCCGTATCACGGTCACATAAACGTCACCAAGATTAATCAAACTCATGATCGCTATATGTACACAATATGTCGTGTATTACATAATGCGCACACAGCCACGAGAATATGAAGTAATGTAGTTAAATATCGATTATCTATATATATCATTTCAATATCGTATGATCGGATAATGTAACGGTGTCTGCGTCACGAGATTATCCACTTCCGTCTTGAGGGCGCTATATTGATCCGGTGACTGTCACGTAAAATTACTTTCACACCAACAGGCGGATATTGCAGTACAGTTGCGCGGAAAGACGTATTTTGAAAATCGCACTCGTCGACGTGATACAAATTGATACATACTAGATTGGTTGGTAGGTAGACAGGTGTTTACGTAAGATAAAGCACATCGTAAGTTCTTTGCGGACCGGTATTTTCCACTTCTCACAGACCCTGTATTACCAAACTACACACGACTACTGTCAGCGTGCTTGCAAGTTTGAGTTTTGTGACAAGAACCGCGTTTAAGTTAACCCTATGCTATATAATTATATGTTTCAGACCTGACTATCACCATGACCGAAAATCAACCGATTTTAACGTCCAATGATGACGCTGTGTATTCAAGAACAGCACCACAGTATGTGGCTGAAATTCGTCCTAATGCACCACCTTATCAAATTCAACAGCCGTATCAAGGATCGCCAGGATTTACCTCACCACCAGTCTATGTCGTACAAGGTACTTATCCTTCTGAAGTTGAAGTGAAACGTTAGTTCTCCAAAGTGGATCACGTGATTCAATTGTATCGTACGAGTCATAGCGCTGGACCCAATGTTATTTACGCACCGTAGCTTAACATACGTGTCACGTGATTCAAGAGTGTATTGTTCTCCTAAAGCAAAACAAATCGTGTGTGTCTGGGCCAAATAATGCCAACAGCACCTCAACAATATCATATGTCCGTTTTATACACGAGCAAGTATTTCGTTCACAAGTAGCCCGGAATTACGAATTACAGAAATTACGATCATATATAATAGTAAGGTTTTTGTCCATTTTTAAAGACTGTTAATTTAATGTTCTGTAAAATATTTTATTTTCGCTTGGAATTATACTTTGCTATTTTCGTTGAAAGAATGATTCAGTGAAAATAAAATCCAACGATACCTTTTTTTTTTCTATATTTTACATACAACTCATAAAAAAAAAAAAACAGTGAAAATAAACTTCATTCAAAACACCCAAAAAATCTTTTCAGTGGAAATTAATTCCAGCTAAAATAAAGTATTTTGCAGTACGATTTGCATATTCCGGCACTTTCTGTCAAAAGTTTGGGCAATAAATCCAATAAATATATATTTCGTGGCGTTTTATGATCCAGATATTCCATGTTTACTTCAACAATTAAGTTTGACATCGGTTATTTAGAATTACTGAAGATGATTGATTTTTGTCATACATGTATGGCTGTACCAAATGGCTGTACCAGTGAGTTGCTCCAGTACAAGGTATGTAACTAACCATGCAGTACGCATCAAAATTACTAGTAATGCAACTTGAATAAACTGTAAATTATCACTTTCTCATGTACAGCTGCTACAGTGTATGGTGAGTTCCCGGTAGCCGCACACTGCCATGCATGTAACACTGATGTTATGACAGTCACAACCTTCAACGCTGGTACTCTGACGTGGTTGTCGTCTGGAATCATTTGTTTGGTTGGGTATGTATAATAATTTTTGTCTTTACTGAGGTTATAAAAGGTTAGGGTGAACAAAAGTTGGTGAGCAACATTTTTTCTGATTAAACTACGTAAGAAATCATTGTCGTAAGTGGTAAGCGAAATTCCCCTTGAAACAGAAAAGAATCCAAACTTCGAACAACATGGAATGGGTAGGAAAGTCAGCTAATATTTAAGAGCAAATGTCTGTAAGAATCAAACAATGGTGGCAGGGGTCAAAAAATAGATTTGGCTCATATTTTGCACAGTGATAGTACTTGGTCCATAACTCCTCAAAATAGCTTTCTTTTAGATCAAAACTCCTTGTTGCCATGGTAACGAGCAAACAAAGTTTTCTGGTCATTTTCCCCAATTTTCGCATCTCAAAAACACGGAAATCAGCATAATTTATGGCACTGTCTCGGCAACACATTTAAACCTATCATAAAAACAAAACAAAATAGACCAACATTTTGGCTTTTTCAAAATTGATGTGAAATTTCCAAAGACATACATTTTAGTTCTTGGGCAGCCTGAAAACAATTAGATGTTTCAAATTTCAAAAAAAAAAAAAAAAAAATTGCTCAACTTTGTAACGCTATAAGTGCCGCTTTGGTATTTTGTGTGGCTTGAAACTTGTACCATATATAGATAATTGGAACATCTATCAAAAGCATTTTTGCAAAATTTGGTACCTTGTTTGGTTGTCACTTGACTGTCCCTTAAAGTAGGCCACTTTTTGTGTGTGGCGAAAGTTGTGAACTTGTTCAAAGTACACTACATGACGAAGTAAAATATATTTCTAATTCAACTTATTATCAAAGGTGAATCTATGTATTGCCTCTCAAATGAATGCTTGCAGAGTTTCGGGTCATGACGTTCAGTCACGTGGTTGTCCCTGAAAGTAGGCCATTTTTTGCATTTGACGCAAATTGTGAATTTTAGCTTTGTTCAGCGTACACTACATGACGAAGTGAACAATAATTCTAATTCAACTTCTGGTCAAATGTACATCTATGTATTGTCTATCAAATAAATGCTTGTAGAGTTTCGGGTCATAACGTTAAGTCACGTGGTTGTCCCTGAAAGTGGGCCACTTTATGCATTGTGAATTTTCAAAGTATGCTACGTGAAGAATTGAAGAAGAATTCTGATTCAACTTCTGATCAAATGTACATCTTTGTATTTTTTACTGAGTAAATACATGTAGAGCTTCGGGTCATGACATATAATCACATGGTTGTCCCTGAAAGCAGGTCACTTTTTGTGCTCGACGAAATGTTCAAAGTATGCTACTGTACCTGACAAATCAGGATTCTAACTCAACTTCTTCTTAAGCCAGTCATCTATGTGTTACCTATCAAGTAAATCCTCTAAGAGTTTTAGGGAGTGACATTTAGTCCCGTGAAGTCTCTGAAAGTAGGCCGTATTTAAACATTGTGTATCAACTGAATGTTAAAAACGTTTGTTCTCGTGTTAGTGTTTTTTTGTTGATATGCATTATAGAACATACTCATGATATACATTATAGTACATAGCTGAATTTAGAAAAATATCTTAGATTCTTTATTACAAATTGGTATTTACACATCGCTTAACTAAACTTTAAGTTAACACTGTAAGTGCATTATCAGTCATTGTAGTACCAATATATTATACATTGGACATTTACAATGTTAAAAGAAACAAACTGTTCAAGAGGCATCTTCTCCAAAGTAACGGAATATCCTAACAGCATTTATCTAACAAAGCCTACATAAGAACACACAAACCTCTATGTCTTAGTACAAACCAGGCAGAAACTTAAGTACTCTCGAAGTTTTGCAACAAATGCCGACTTGCGTCGACGGTCAGTGATGGAGGATACGTCGACATCAAAGTGCTCGCAAATGGACCTTAATAGTACTATGCCGATCACATACAGGCCTCCCTCTCTTTGCCAAGTCACAATTGTTGAATGTATCGTACAGGACAGGGTGACATAGTTCGACGTTGGTGATGATTTCCTCTTGTATGCGACTGTTGGAGGATTCGATTACAGCAGGGTCCTGTTGCTCCTCCTCCTCCTCCTCCTCTTCAGAATCTTCTGAAACTTTACGGCGTTTAGCTGCCAGTCGGGAGAAATAGCTAGAGACTTGCTGGCCAGTCAAAAAGTCCTGCACCTGGAATAGCCGTTGGCCTTGTACATGCCTCATTTCTTTGGACACAGTAATGGGGTCTGACTTTCGTCCAATAGCTTGTCGAAGCCGAAACCGATTATCAAGGACTGGTCTTTTTTTGCTTGTGACTAAACCTGACAGCCTTCTTCAGACTGCGCATTGCCCATCCTTGCTGTGGGAAAGGTATTGTTCTATTTACTTCTAAGGATGGCTCTACATGTTGCACTTCTGACAGGCTCTGTGCAAGCATTTCTGTGTACTTCAATTTTGTCTTGTCCAGCAAAGTCTCTTATTCAAGGCAACGTTTGTGCTTTCCGACAGCTACATGAGCCCCCCAGACCTTTGCATGTTTGATAAATCTTGACGCAGCTCTTATCTGAACAAGGGAAAAGGCTACCATTGACTGGGTTGCACAGTCTCATGACTTGCCGCATCTTCATCAGAATCTGACTTCTTGTTGAGCTTGCACCTTCATCTGCCTGGACATGATGGGTCTATATGCAGAACCAGGATTTGACGGCTGACTGACAATCTTCAGCAGCGGTGGTTCTATGGCAGGCAATCGCAGCCAAGGGACAATATTCCTATCCCTGATGTTGTATGCTCGCCAGACACGTAGACCTGCATCACTAAACTCAAAGAGTTTGGTGATTCCATCCAGTTTCATGGATGTCGCTGCAACATCTGCAACCACTTCACACAGAAAGACTTTACTTCCGGGATTCTACCAGAGACTCTAAGGCAATCTTAATACTCCTCGGCCGTCTCAACATTGTGGCCCTCATTGATCCAGGTCTTGATGTGGGACTTCACTGTTTCCCCCCTTGTGGGTTGCAATAGTCCAGTCGTCTGATGGTGACTCTTGCCGTTTTGTTGATATGCCTAGCTGCTTGAAGTATGAGTGTGTTG